TACCGGGTAAGCAGTCAGGGGGCTTCGGCTCTCATGACAACAAATAATAATAATAATAATACTCAAGCTTTGCGTTTGCAATGGGGGAGGACAAAGTTTGATAAAATTTGCTTCTTTAAATTGACGGTATACTAATGGTATTACACATCTACCATATCCAAAATGTTCTACCACTTCACCTAAACAATAAAAAAATATTACGAATTCACAAAAAATTACAAATTATTCATGACATTAAATACATAAACATAACTATAAATAATCCTACTTTGACAGTTCTCATTGCGTATCACAGTTTTTTTGTTGCTGCTTAGTTCAAATTAGCTGTTTATATAAATGCAAAAAAATATTATAGTGCTGAACCCTGTTGGTAAATCTTATAACTTTTTAATGCTTTTGTGTATCATAGAACCAACTATTTTAGTTGAACAGCTGACTAAATTATTTAATTCCCTTTAAATATGAATACTCATAAGGTTAACATGGGGAACTACAGAGCCACTGGGGTGGAGCCCGAAAGGATTTTTCAGATAAGAATATGCCTATATGTTAATCGGGAATGTGAGCTATCATCATGCCAAATTTCAGCCCAATCCGTCCAGTGGTTTATGCGTGATTGAACTTCAAACAAACAAACAAACAAACAAATAAACAAACAAACACACAAACTTTCACATTTATAATATTAGTAAGATTATATAAAAACATGCAATAACCGTCAAGGAATGAATTGACAAAAGTTGTATTAAAAAAAACCTCAACGGTTGTTTATTTAACTTTACTTCTGGCGTTAAAACACAGCCCCGCAAAGCGATATTGGGGCATAAATGAAGTAATACCCGAAGGAGATAAGCATATAAGTTGTCTTTGGTAATACTAGTGCATGGGTCGCCGGAATTGCACAAGAGTTGTACAATTCCGGCCCCTACACTCCATTTTGGTCGAGAAATGATACGTCATCGTGACGTCACTATAACCTAGGCGGGGTACAATTCTAGAAGGGGAGCAATTCCGCCACCCCTAATGCATTATTGAAATAAAAAAGCTTGTAAGATAACAAAATTATAACTTTTTTAACTTCTAGATTTATTTCCCCCTTTAACATCATACTTTTGTAACGTAGTGTTCCTATTGGTGATCGGTTTAGCTTGCTTGTGTAAAGGCATTGTCTTTTATTATGTGTAGTTTGAAATTGATCTAGGTTTTTAAACTGTTAGACGTGATATTGTAGACTTAACCGTAGAAACGAGGTTATACTTTAAAATAGGGTACCCAAAAAACAAAACATAAACAATAAATCGATGAAATTTTAAAGGTCTCAAATTCTTTTAGTCTTTCCTACCTTACCTATCATTTGCTTACTGTTACGCAGAATTAAATTTGCCCCATGAAACTACAGAAGAATTCCTTGAGGCACTGAAATGCTAAATAGCCTGACAACGTCAACCAAATGAAACCACTGGCTTTGTGCAGCCACCATTAGAAACTCTACGAAGCATTACACTGTTCTTAATTCAGTTTCAAAATTAGTCTATGAGGAAAAGTACCCTCAAAGACACAACTGAGACACTGTTTTTGTGTTCACATTTTATAAATCATGTTAAGTTTCTACAATGCAATTAAATAATAAAAACGCTTTCTATAAGAAATGAGTTTTAACAAAATAATCCACCTCTTCAAGAAAGTTATTTTCCCTATTATTTATTTTGCTCATTTCCTTAGATAAAAACTCAGTGTAGATTATGTCTGACAACTAAAACCAACTGACTAGAAACGCGCTGACAATTAATCGTCTGTGGTAAGAAACATCAACTGACTGATTCAAGGGGATCAAAGAATTAGTAGTTTAAGCAACGATTGCGTTAAGTGAGTCTTTACGACACGAGTAGCAAATTTGCGTACACTACTTTACCTACGACCGTTTTTTAATTACTAAAAATCTGTTTTTTAATTCCTAACAATCACTACTCATAACTTCCTAGAGAGGTTATGTTTTCGTTTATTGTCATTGTCAATGAAAGTGATGCAACGACTTATTGTATAATCAGCTGATTTCATGTAATTACTTGTTTATAAAACTTTGTTAAATAATACGGTACTTTTTCAGGCAATAGGTTCTGCTAGCAGCATTCTTACCATAAATACTGTATCAGGTACAATTAGGGAAATATTGCATATATTTTTGGGACAACTAAATAATATAGTGAAACAGTTAATTTACAGTTAGATCTCAGCATCGAATATTTGGTCCAAAACGAGTTGGGTAAAAAAGTGGTTAAGAGGTTTTCAAAATAAACCAGAAGAACATTTTCATTTATCAATTTAACCTTATTTTGTTTCGTCCATTTAATGAATTGCTGGTATGTAATTGCATGTGGTACCTTTGTTTTGATGTTGGTGGCAAAATATTAGCACAAACAGTTTGTGCTCTCATTTCTATCTCGTCAACATCACCTTCACTAACTGATATTTTAAAATCAACCTTCATTTAACTTCCACAAACTTAGGTTAAGAATACGCGAGTATCAACAGGAACAAGCCGGATCAACAATTAAAATTGTCAACTGATCAGCTGATCAGCTGATTAGTTGACGTTCGAAGTATTACAATTGTACTTCTTTTCTCTCAATCCTTGAACCTCATTGGTCCGTTACCCGTGTTGATATGAGAAAAACTATTATATGAAATAAAACTATGCTGATATGAATGTAAACAGCTGTTAAGTGAAGCTTTTCAATTCTAAGAACTGAACTTAAATGGCTACTTTAAAAAAACGGTCGTAGGTAATAGTATATTTCATCACTAGGGCCTAAAGTGACTATTTTACCTGAGCTCAATTTTTACGATCAAGGTGAAACCAAGGTCGGAAAATGAGCAATGATCGAGGGTTTAAAGACAGCTTTTGCCCATGTGGTGAACTATGTTTTTCGTCATATTGCACCATTAATTAACAAACTAAGATAGATATTGAAATAACTTTTTTGACAAGATAACCTCTCAAAATTAATTACAGTTTGTTTTAAATTCTGCTAATGTAAATAAGCAGCTGTTTAGTAAATGATTCAATCATGTCATTTATTATGATTGGTACATTATATCTATGATTATAATATCGATATGTCGAGTGATCGACAAAAATAGGCTAAAACCTTACCTAATAAATCAATCGATAAATTATTTCGATCGATACGATTGCCACAATCGAAATTTACAACTATTTGCAACAGCTGATTTTTACTCTCTAGAGACAAAAATGCTGCTTTAGACCCGCAAATCCTGCATTAAAACGGCTGTTTTGCTGCAGTATGACGAAAAAGAATAAATATCAAGATCTTAGAGGTGTATATTTCGTTCGTTACCGCGTCTTAAAAAAATATGTTATCTGATCATGGTCAATAACAAAACTGCTCCCATCTCACCTACCGTGTGATGGGGTTTAAATATGCCTAAATAACATTTTCATCTTATAATAATACATCAAGATCATTATTTCTGACAAGATCATTTGCAATAAATGTTATGTCAACTCTACGTGCCCGTAGCAACAAGCAATTATAGATTTTTAATATCCATATTAACACACCTTTTATCCACAATACGATGGGTATTTTGACAGATAATAAAACTGAAAAAACCATTTGAATAGTTCTGTTTAGCTCAGTGATACACAATTGAAAACAGAAGCCGTTATAAAGAGAAGACTAAAGACATAAATATAGAACAGAAACCACCCTAGTCCCGAGATTACCTCCAGTCCCAAATCCCATTGCAATTTCTAAAAGAACATAACCTGCAAACAACAATATAAAACATTGATATATATTTAATATCATTTTTTAAATTTTATAAAGTCGATTCAAAATCATTTTAATGTTACTAACTAACCATAACTAATCAAATGTGTACTTGTTTGTTATTTTTTTTTAGCAATTTGTATATAATTATTATTTAATTGCATTTTGTTATATTTTTGAGCAACATTTGGCCACAAAATATACAAGTATTTCACTACAAATGCAACTAATATTTTTTTGTGTTATAAAGCTAGTACTTGGTGGACGAGTCATGGATCGGTACAATTTATTTCCATTGTACCCCTATAAAGAGTAATCTTCAGTGTAATCTTTGCTCAATAGTAGCAACTGATGTTTTCCCTGTGTACTTTATTTTGTAATTTGCTAGTACTTGCTGTGGATGGATTGTTATAAAGACATGTTAGAAGCCTTTTGTTTACGGCCAATTTAAGGTAAGGCTATTTTTAAAAAAATTGACTTTCAATTTAATTTTTGTACGTAGTTGGATTTTTGACAATTTTAGGCCAGATATAAACTATTTACGACATTTAAAGGAAATCGTCGAAGCCTTTTTCGAGATTTGTTTGCATACATACACGCACTCATGCAAACTAACATTGCTCATTTAAGAGTATAGCATACTATTTGTATGACCCAACCAACTTTTCTAATTAAGTAATGGATTGACACTTTTAAATTCAATACTAGTGCACATGTTGCTCGAATTCGAGCAATTGCAAAGTATTACATGCGTTATATCAAAATGAATAACAGTCACAATTACATCAAAGATAATGCGATCAACTCCACTCCAGTTATCGAAACTGAAAATGAACTGACTCTGAAAACGAACGCCCTTGTGTGTATCATGTGTTTACTATGAACAGCTGTAATCCTTTTGTTTACAGACGAATAATTTTCATCAATTACAGACTGTTCATAGTAAACACATGATACACACAAGGGCGTTCGTTTTCAGAGTAACAAGTCTGTAAACAAAATCATAAGAAATTCATTGGGATTTTGGTGGCCTGTGGGGCAAAGCCCGTGGACTTTTATTACAGGAATTGATGGAAGCGGTTGTTTACATAAAAAATACTTAATTTTGACACATCGTTTGTAAAAATCCGTCCATTATTAACGGAGGAGTAGTGTTTCGTAGAAATCGCCTTCACGTATTATATATAAGGATTTTGTGGTTTTCAGAGCCCAGAGACCATTCGCCCCCAGAGCCAGCGCCTCCTGAGGTGCCTCCTAGAGGGCCGTCCCTGCACCATCCCTCGCTCGGCCACCGCGCCAGGACCACCCCTGACAGCGTTAGCAACTATGTCTTCCCGTCTCAAGGTATGGCAGATACATTCATACGTGCTTGGAGATGTACTTTGTACTTTACACCGTCAAATATATATTGTTCATGTAAACATCAGCTATACAATAAGGAGCCATATTAAAACATCATCTAGCAGAATCTACCACAGCGTGAGTACTACTAAAAACGGAAAAAATCGGTTTAATTAATTTCCACGAAATGTATAATTGTTTTAGGAACTATGGAAATAAGTTTTTCATTTCACTTGCATACTTGAACTTTTGGTCGTTTATGTAAGCTTCAAACGTTACATCATTTGGATTTTAGTATTTTAAAATATCTGCATTCTAGCGAATTTCCCATATGGGGAATAAGCTAAGAACTAGGTCTCATGGTAAGACTTGGACCCAGAACTGATTCCCTTTTTCATTTTGAGCACCCGAATGCAAAAATCCCCATCTGTTCAAATCCATATAGTTATAAACGTGTGTATGTATGTGTGTCCGTTATCACGATAACTAAAGCAAATATGATCAGATTTTAATTAAATTCGGTATAAAAGTGTAAACCCACATTTATTTGAACTGGTTTGCGAACCAGCATGATCAGACTATGGAAACGGAAGTTTATGGGGGTTTTGCCGGTAAAAACTAGATTTTTCCCATTTTTACCTTAAAAATTAAAGTTTTGCAATTTCTTTCTAAACCATTTCGTAGAGCTTGCAAAAAATACAGTTCAGTTTTTCAAGCATTGTTACGCTCATTGTTAATTGTTAACCATTAAGGGTTAAGGGGAAAATTCCATAAAACTGTATATATTTCAAATGTTCATGTTATTCTTATGATATTCCATGTAGCATCCAACCTAAGAACTCGTTAAACTAATATGATTTTAAAATAAGGAATAACTAGATTTGTCATTTTAAAGGAGATATTTAAGTGAAAATACAATCAGGCAAATCGAAATTCGCTTAGTCTGCTGGTTTGCTGTTGTGGGATTTAAATACTTTTTCCATACTGAATCAATAGCAAAGTTAAGCAATTCTCGAATCAATCGATAACAATTTCGATACTCAACTCTGCTCACGTATGAATCCTGACTGGTGTAAGACAGTTGTGATTTCGTTTGAAGCCAATATGCGTTACCTGGTGTCCTACAAAATGGTAATTAGTATCTCTGACTATGATTCACGGTTCTGCAATTTTCGAATACAAATAAATATAGTTAGATTTAGCAACATGAAACGCGCATCAAAATAACCTGCAGATATTATCATCGGATTATAAGTCTTCTTTTACACTATAAATTACCCTAACTATTTTTTGGAAGACTTTTAAAACTAGTTAAGTACAATTATTGTAAATAAGTTTTAATGTACAGAGAGTTTTACTACAGGGCACTTGAAGAGGTATAATTGTTAAAGTATTGCAACTGAACACAATAATTACTAATTAACACGTAAAGTTGGAATATTTGTATACATGTTAAACATTATTTGCTGCAAATACTCGTATCACTTTACGATTTGTATTAGCAAGTGGAGGAAATCACTCGCAACCTCATATCAAATTGGGTAGCGCGTCATTCAAAACACGTTGAAAGGGCGTTGTTAGGTGTCAATAGCACGTAAATGAAGAGAGTTAGTCGCAGAATATTAACGAACGGCTTGCAGGTGGCGTTCACATCAGAGCAGAACCAGGCTGGACATAATTAAATCAGGACAATAAGGGAGGGAAGCTAATGGGGTCTGTCGATTAGCGGACCCTGCGACCGGATTAATGATAACACTGGCCTGCTCTAAGCTTCAATTTATAGGCGAGGGGAGTAGATTGTTTACGGGTAAGAATAGAAAATACTGTTTGCTGAAGTCATAGTGGAGATTGGGTTGTATTAATTAGCTACTAGTAAACACGTTGCTCGAAATCGAGCAATTGCAAAGAAGTAAAGTAGTTATTTAAAAACTAATAAAAGTATCATAATTTCCGATGAGTTTAAAAGAATTTGAATTAAAAAATAAATAACAGCAATTAATTAAGCAATTAATACAGCTGATCAAAATGTAAACAATTATGTTCTTCATAAGGATAACATGGGAACTTTAACAGCCACTGGGGTAGAGCCTAAGGGACAATTTTCGAAAGTCTAAGGTCAGTTTGCAAATCTACTCGACACGCTCTTTCCAATGAGACGTCAAAGGATAAAATCGGTTAAGAAATGGCGGAGGAGTTCAACCAACAATGTTTCATGTAGCGTATTAATTATATAGATGTGTAAAATGTATAATTGAGTTGGTTTAATTACTTTATTCTAAGTCACGGGTCTTTTAAGGGGAAACCTAAAATGAAAATTCTTCAGTGTGATTAGAGGTTCAGCACATACAGTGGCCGTCGATGCACACATATCAGTCCAGTCACAGTTCGGTTACAGTTGCATCCGCAATTCCTCAGTCTTCCGTCAATGTATTTACAGTGACATTACATTCAAGAATGTTTAATTAAAACACAAAATTCTATCCAATTTTCATCACCCATCTTGTTGATTGTTACAAACAGTACTTAAAATATAAACACAATCGTTAAAATAGCACAAACACTATTTTCTAACCTCTAACACGTCCGTCAACAATTTGATATAGTTTATGTATGCTAGGTTTTAGATACCGAAAACTAAGGTTCAAATAGACAACAATTATAAGGGAAGTCAATTTATATGGTCCATAATGATCAGTGAAAGAGACAATAAAACCTTAAAATCTTGCCGTTAAGAAGTAGAAATAAAAATATACAAAGATTAACGTAGACTACATCTTACATAAAAAAATATCCGAATTACGAATTGTGGGTCGTTTAGTTCATTATGTGTGAAACGCAATACAAATAAGAATAAGACAGAATATAAAGTTTCCTAATATTGACATTGAAATATGTCGATTTTGAGTAAATGACTCCATTTTCATGACAGTTATTTCGTAAGGAAATTCTGCTCTTTCACGTTTTAGTTCAGACTTGCATTATTACATATTAAATTCATTATTTAAACTACTTCTGAGAAAAATGAAAAGTGAAAGTAGTGCATTTAGCTGCATTGTATGATAATTTATTACAATATTTTAGCAATTGACCCAACCATAACTCCATTCAATGCAACTAAATAAATGTGATCTTGAACAATTATGCACTCAAATGATTAGTGTAATGTGTTTTCCAAATTAACACCTTCCCTAAATAGGCTACCCTTTAAACCCTCATTTTTAAAATAAAATGGAAGGTATTTCATAGGAACAAATTCATTAGAGAGGTGTATGATGCAAATGAGCCAACGAAGGGATAAAAGAATTTGCCACCCTTAAGGGCGGAACGCGTCCGATTTGATGGGGTGAGAAAAGTTAAATTAGTCACTGGTATCCTGCAATTTTAACATCATTCTTAGCCTCAATGAATATCTTCGCTATTATTTCGGTTATTTTAAAATTATATATATGGGTCCTATAATCTAAAACAAGCACTTGTACGGACACACTTTTATTTGTATACAGGATTTTTTATTTTTTTGTTTATTCCGCATATCAAATTGGACAGCGCGTCATTCAAAACACGTTTAACCTTCGTCAATACATCTAAAACACTACATAGATTATCTGCAACTAAAACAACATTCATTTGGCTGGTTTTGTAACTATAAATGTATTTGGCCACGAGAAATCGATTGGAGTTGGTTACAAGGCTGGAAAAATCCAGTTTCCGCCCTACAGACCTTTAAAGTACCCATGTTATCGTCAATACATTTTTGTAGCTGCTGTTAATAAAACAGCCTATACAGGTATTTTTTATAGCGATCTATGTATTTATATAGGTGTATAACAATTTTTGCTTTGTATAATCTAAAATTTGTTCACATTGATTAAAGTACATACTAAATATATTTAATTTAGCTCAATTTTTTATATAATAAATTTAATGTTGGGTTATCATAACTATGTTTGTAGGACTTTCCTCGTTTCGTTATGAACCGAACGATACCATACATTCTATTTATGATCTATCTATCTATTTATGGTAGGGTGGAAGTTAGCAGAATGGACGGAATCTTTAGGATTGTCATCTTAGATTTTAAATATTGTTTATTTTCTCATATTTACTATGTTTTTTACTTGTATTACAATAATTTAGTTTTCTTGGATTTTCTTTTTAATAAGGTGGGAATATGATAAAACTGTGGACAGTTTAGTTAAATCATTGAATGCTCTAGATGAACTTAATTAGCTAGTCATTTCTCTGGTATTATATCAAACATAACGTGTGATATAAGTATATTCAACAAACATTCAAACTTTCAGATGTTTAACCATTGAAACAGAAAGTTATTTTCAGCTAATATAAAAGCCGGAACATCGCATTTGCAAGCCGTGTAGGTTCTTCGTACGAGAACCCTCGTCCATTAGGCCTTCAATGTAATTATACGCAAGGTAGCGAGGTAGCGAATACCACCCTCAGCGTGCGATTAAATTGTAGCCGATGCTATCAGGAACTAATGGACTCGATAACTCTCTTAGCGAGGCTTTTAAGATAAAATCACTTCTGGAGGATATCGGATGGTCCCAGTGACAGATTCGTAGCAAACACTTATAGCCACTTTGAATATTACTATAAATGTGACGTTTTATGACTACAATTTATTCCAAATGAGTTAAGTAAATACATGTAAATAGTTTTAAATACGATAGCTAACTCTTAACCAACAAGCAAGGAGTTATTTTTACATTATTGGATCAGAATTAATGCTTTAAAGATCTTCTCAAGTTGATACAAAACAGTTTCGAATAAAAAAATCTCTTTTACCATAACTTGCTTCAAATTTATATTTCTTCTCTGGTACCTATACTATAATCAATTAATTTTATTAAATGTTTAAGTCAAATCGTGTAAAACTTTGTTTCGAACATAAACCCAAATTTATTTTTAAATACTAGAGCGTGAGAAAGGGTAAATGGTTTTAGTAGCGGTGTCAAATAATAGAAATAATAAGAAAGTCTACA